TTGAGCGGGCGGCTGTGTGGGGTTTAGTTGCTGGCTGGTGTTAAACCACGACAATCACCAGATGCGTTTTTTTGACAACACTGGCACATGGGGAGGGTGCTTATTATATTAGTTGTAGTGACTGTCGAAAGCCATTCAGTACTGAAGATACTGCAAATCATTAAGGGAAGATAAAAATCAGTAATTTTCATGCATCCAAAATTTTAGATGGATATTATAGTTTGCCTGTAAAGAGCTACAGTGTCCAAAAAGGAGTTACCTGCTGGAAGTATTTGTCGCAGTTAATGTATTCCTTATCATGGGAGTCTTGCAGCTTATTTGTTTTGATGTACTGCCAGAGAGCCTGGATGATGGCTGATCGGGTCTGTGTGTGTATCCCCAGCAAACGGGCTAATCGCGGGTCCAGTTTAAACTGTGGAGGCTGTAACAGAAAGAGAAGGAGATGGAGATGGCGATAGAGAGAAAAGCAGACAGATATACAGGTACGAAGTTTCAGCTTTAATTCTCGAGGGACTCTGTTCCCCATTCCATGGCAGAGATTGCAAAAATACAGGTTGCTCAGATGTGTACCACTATCGGTGCTCTGGAAGAACTATGTCTAGGGTTTGGAAAGAAAGGGACACTCTACATGTGCTATGCACACAGACTATCTGTATCACATGCTTTAGACAGTAACAACTTGCATGCAGACTCAAGAAAGAATTTTCCTTTTCAACATTGATGCATAATTTGACTTCAGGGAGTGGGAAAAGAAAAAGAATGGTCCTTCCTCTGAACTACTGGAGGTTAACCACAGATAGAGAGAATGAAGTCAGGATGATGCTTCTACTGTTGCTAATGACTGCTCAGCTGCCTCACATCAACGAAGTACCTTGGAACTCTGTTTTTCAGGCATGTTTCCACCGTTCTGCTGCATATCAGAAAATTTACCCAACCACAACTAGTCAATGGAATATATTTATTCTCCTGACCTCTGTGATACAACTCTTCAACTACCCTGTTCTGCATCTCTAGGAATATACATTCCTTGAATACCTTGGAATTTGATGCCTCTTCAAGTGTGTACCCATACTCAAGTTTAATATTTGCCACATTATTAGGCAAGGATTACTTTGTTGGGTGCTAGGTCACCCAAAGCTAGCTTTATAACAAATCAAGACTTAAGGATAAGAGAACATCTATTTTAAAGCATAAATTTGTAATAATGGTGAGCATAACAAACGTCATTATATTGTCTTAACAATGAAGATTCTCACTGGCTATATCAGCATTTCACTTAGCTCATACGCTCCCTAAAATTAATAAAATTTTCTCTCTGTTAACATAAAATGGAGTGTCTTTATCCTGGATAGATGCTATTTGCACGGAGGGGAAAGAGAACGGCACGGAATGAGTTCTTAAAGTTATGCAACCAAAATGTATCTGAGACTGAACTGCCACTGAAAAGGGAGATCCCATCTCCTCTCAGCAGTGCATTTCTATCAATTTCCTCAAGACAGCAACATTCCTTTCAGGGATGGTTTCAGTCAGATTAGTGAGCTCCACAACTGCAAATCTCCATCGTTTGTGCCACGAGAATGGAGACTGTGGCAGTGCACACCCACAACTGAAATGAAAGTGGAGTTTTGGAGCAGCTTAGCCTTACAACAGCTTAAACTAGTTTGAAACTGTGCCCAGGAACCTCTTTTATATTCTATCCCAAGGCAGAATAACCTAATTTTGCCTATTGGTTTTTTTTGTTTCCTGTGACTGGGATCAGGGAACTGATTTGGAAGTAAGTCTTATTAGCTTTCAAATGGATCAGTTCCCTGACTTGTTTGTATTCAGCCCACAAATACTACTAGTAGAATAGAACTAATACTGACAAAAAAGAGGAATTGCCTAACAAGGCATGAGAGTAATGGCAAGACCAACCCTTGCAGGGCAACGTTGTTTTATCCCAGATTAGGGTGACAGTGTAACCAAAACTTAACAAACCAGGAAAGCTGTGTAGTCTGCTCTCAAAAAAAGGCTGCCACAGCTACATAGCTAGTTCAGGTACCACTAGCAAAAGCCACTCCTTTGAATATGTGCGTACAGGACCACACACATAACTCACGTGCAACTTACCTGACTATTCTCTAAAAAGCCTGAGGTGGAAATGCATATTCTTTCTGCACGTGGGCAATAAAAATACTAATTATCATAGTGCCAAGAACAATATTTTGCTAGACTATACCAGAAACTTACTTGATGTATCCCCTTCACATTTTAAATAATCTCTCAGTTTGGTACCATTCTAACCTCAATGGACTACATGACATTCTGAGTCCAAGTATATTGGTTTTTGATGTATGCGACAGGATGAATTTGCTCTGTTGCACTATGTCCCAATGGCTGTATTTTCTACGCCAAAAGCAGTGCACTGACCTGGTAGTCCAACATGAGGAGTAATGTGCACCGCACGCTGACATCACCGGGTCTTTTCACCTGGAAGCCATCCGTTTCCTGGGTTGTGGGAGTTCTGTGCCACTGCCAAAGGAAAAAACAAGTAAGACGGTCAGTGTTTTTTCGCTGATGTCCATTGAGGTGCATCTTGCACAGTACGCCATGCCAGAATAAGACAAGTACAAGCCTGCTGAAGATCTTGCAATTAAAAAAAAAAACCAAAACAACACAACAAAACCCCCCAAATAATTTCTTGCTCTGCCCTTACAATTCAGCTCTAGTGCACAATCTGTTCTGCTGTTAGCACGCTTTACTTATTAGGAAAAATGCACACAATTTTTTCATCATTTTATACATTCTGTTCTCAGATGTGCACTACATCACTACTACATCTATGTTTCTAGACTGTATAGAATCTGTGAGTAAACATTCTTAAAAAGAATGGAAATTTGAAAACTTTGAAAATACCTTAAATGAGATAATGAATGCAAGGTAACTTAAACAAGATAGACAATGGGCAAACAGCTGTTCATCTGTGCTAGTATCAGGTTTGTATGCAAAGGGTGCACAACCTTCTTACCTCCACAAGATGGTTGTCAGGTCCATAAAGATCTTTGTCCAGTTCAATAACCAAACTCTTAAAAAAAGATGAAAACTTCCGTTTCTGTTTGCTGAGCTGTACAATCAGAAGAAACAGAAATGTTTAAGGCTGCTTATATTATCTTGTGTTCTATGCTTTCTTCTCTGGCTTTCTTTTTCTCTTGAACATTAATTCCCATAGAGACCACAAGTGTGATCAATCTAATTGAGTCTTGCCTCTGACAAATGCAGGGTAAGATGCAAAAATCTCAACAGTGGTGGAACAGTGTACACTTAAGGGAAGATTTCCCTGACTCTCTCAATGTTACTGGAAAGGACTGGCTTGTAATGTGAATACGGCGGGTCCAGAGGAGGCCACGAAATTGATCCGAGGCTGGAACACCTCTCCTGTGAGGACAGGCTGGGAGAGTTGGGGTTGTCAGCCTGGAGAAGAGAAGGCTCCAGGGAGACTTACTGTGGCCTTTCAATACTTAAAGGGGGCTTATAAGAAAGATGGGGACAGACTTTTTACCAAGGCCTGTAGTGACAGGACAAGGGGCAATGGTTTTAAACTGAAAGATGGTAGGTTTAGATTGGACATAAGGAAGAAATTCTTCACTATGAGGGTGGTGAGGCACTGGAACAGGTTGCCCAGAGAAGCTGTGGATGCCCCATCCCTGGAAGTGTTCAAGGTCAGGTTGGACCTGGCTGTGAGCAACCTGGTCTGGTGAAAGATGTCCCTGTCCACAGCAGGGGGGTTTGACTAGATGATCTTTGAAGGTTCTTTCCAACCCAAACCATTCTATGATTCTAAGGCCACTGTATACCTTTTATTTTAACAGTTTGGGTTTTTTTGAGGAATGCTAATTTCTTGGTCTGATTTATCAGATGACAGTAAATTTACAGATTAATCATACACTAAGTAGCAGTATTTCCTTTTACATTTTGCCCTTCGGCTTAATTATCAGTATTCGCTGTTTACTACACAGCTCATACTGTCTAAATTAAAGACTGGGAGGTCTATAATCACATAATCTGACTTTCTATAGAATACAGTCCACAGGATTTTAATGAATTTCTTCTTATTTAATACAGAAAATCTTTTAGAAATACATCCTTCTTCGATTTAAAATTTGCCAGTAATTGAGAAGCTATTTTGTTCCAATAAAGAATCTCTTTCTTTGTTAAAATATATGCTCTAATTTCTAAACTGAAATTGTCTAACTTCAATTTCCAGATGTTGCACTTTGTCACCACTCCATCCTCCAGCAAGATTATGATTCTGATTCATGTACAGTTATCTTCAGACAGACAGACATGCCTTGAAAGCCTTGCCCTCTCCATACATGCATGTTCTCCATCTGTTCATTCTATCAAATACTTAGCTTGTGAAGTCTATTCAAACAGATGACACCTTCATTAGGAAAGTCCAGCCTTCCCCGAGAAAAGCTAAATACATCACTGAGGTTTCTGAGGACTTCAGAATGATCAAACTTTTCTTCCATTGTTGCTCTGACCATCCACTCATCCTCTTGTCCTCCTTAGGAATATGAACTACTTGCTTCTCCTTGTTGTCCTACTCCTCACAAGATGCAATGCCTGCTGTAGGCCTGACTTATCACACCTCTCGTGGCCTGAACCCTGCCGTATCTTTTAAGGGAAACATCTCAGTGCCGTTCTCTCCACCTCCTCCTACCTGTTCTGTCCTTCGGCCTGCTTCATGTCCTGCTGCCCTCCCCACCCCCCGCAACATTCCCATTACAGCCTTATCCCTCACTCCGGCTGGACATGGCGCCTTCCCAGCAGCAGCAAGCCAACGCTGCCATTCAGAGATGTCTCGTTTGAGTTGATGTCCCCGGTAAAGTCCACCACCCCACAGGACAATCTCTAGATCCTTGCCAGCCCCAGCGAAGCACAGGTAAGTCATACGTCATCCAGGAGCTTCCCCTCCACTCGCAGCTCCCATGAAGCAATGCTGCCATCAGAGTCATCAGCGTCAGATTTTGCGGGATTAAATGTATTGGAGATGTAAAGTCTCAGTTTCCGCTTTTGCTGTTATACAAATAGAGAAAAGAAAAGTACATATCCAGTTTAAGTCCAAGACCCGAGGAAGCCACAGGAAAGGTGACAGTTACACATTTAGTAGAGAATCTGCATGTTTAGTACAGTTGCACCAGGTTATACTAGCATTTAAGATTTGGTTATGTATAAGAAAATGCACTGAAGAGCTGAATCTGAAACTTCCTTTCCAAAACTACTGGCTATACAAACATGCTAAGAGCCACTGTCAGTGGAGAAAGACAGGAGGTTGCAGGGCCAAGCCCATGAGGCTTTACATCCTGTACTTCTGGATCAGATATCTGAGAAATCATTGTAAGAAAAGCACAGTATGATGCCCTTCCTGTCTAGATCCTAGCTAGATTGCTAAGATTCAGCTGCAAACCTCTTGCTACATGAATGTCTTTCATAGTTGCATCAGTTCAGATTTGTAAATGGCAGTCACAAATACATAAACGCTGCAAATTACATGCCAGGCACACCTCTGCTCATCTTCATTCTACCATCATGCAGAGCCTGGTAATAGTCTTCCTACAGACACACACCCAAATACACCCACCCACCCCTGCCGCCTGACCTTCCTCTTTAACTGCCTTTCACCCTAACCAAACATGTTGCAGCTCCACCTTGCCGTGAGACCTGCGTGGAAGAAGGCACTGTGCTTCCAGTGCCTAACTGAGGTGCTCAAGTCTGTGAGAGATACGACCATGCCTACCTGGTGTCACTGCTACAGGCTGCCTCAGGTTTCGTTTCCCCAGCCACTGTACTGGCTTATGGCTACGTTATTTCTCCCATGCAGCATGTGGAAAACCTGGCCATTAACTCTGACGCATGGATTCCAGAAAAGATATTGCCAGAAATGTCTGTGGGGCTCTAATCTCAAACATCTGTTTATAATATAATGACAAAAAGGCTGCGGTTGTCAAGTTAATGCAGTCAAAACAACCTTCATACAACATAAGAAAGTAGTAGTCTTGTAAAGCTCTCACACTCACACACACGTATAGGAGAGAAGGAAGTTACATACATCAGGTCAGGAACTAAAAATCTAATATGGCATAGAGGAACATGGATTTCCTACAGGATTTCTGTGGCTAAAGTGCTCTTTCATTAAATAAAATGTCTTTTTTTAATGCCCCAGAATGTTTATTTGGTGTGGAGAACTTGTGAAGGACTTCACATTTCTAAATTCACAACTCTTCAAATTAACTTGCACATTATATGCACTGTTCCTAAATTTTATCCCCACCTGGATTATTTGCAAAACTGTATCTACATACCTAAGCAGCTTTTTTCTTAATCTTACCCTCCTGGACACTCTACTGATATTTCAGGTTTATATCACTGAGTCCATTTCCTCTTCTCTTGATTTCCAAAGACATTATCTCCATTCTCCCCTTTACCCTGGAAACTCTTTCTCTCCTATGTCTCCCCATATCCAGATAGGAACTGTATCTGTTTCCTCCAAAGTCCGACATTTCATCACTATGATCATCCTCTGCAATAACATCCTTATTCAAATCTGAGTATTTTAGATGTCTTCCTTTCTCCTAGCTTTCAGGCTTTAGCTTCCTTGTATAGTCCACCTAAAACCAAGTTAGTAACAACGTCTAACTCCACTGCGAAATACGAAATACCTCTCCTTGATACTTTCCACTGTTCCCCTTTGCTAACCCCTTATCATTTTTCTCTCAAGTCATGCACAAGCCAGATGCAGCTTACATTGCAGAACTGGTCTCCTGCTGCCTTCCCTATACTTTCCTGCTCTGCCAAAGTCAGAGTCTGCATATCATTTGTTTGTTTCTCCCACATCTCTCTCTTCAGTTTACACTGTTTTCTTCTACACAATGAATTATCTTTCCCAAATTTAATCCTCTCCTCACCGTAACCCCTATAAATCAGCCCGCTTCTTCTACATTGTCATCAGAAAGGAACTTAGAATGATTATGAATAAAAGTCCTAAGTAATGGCTATCTCTAAAGTTACCTTTTGTCCTACTTTCTAGATATCTTGATTTTAGATCGAAAACCATTTAGCCTTTGCCTCCAATGTGTTACAGACACTTCTGACAACTTGTAAGTACTGTGGAATGCTGAGCCTTTAGTCTCTGCTAAGCAAAGACGTTCTATCCAACAAGCAAAATGTGTAACCTGCACCCTGGGGGTTGTCTTCAGATTTTGGCCCAAAAGGTACTGCAAATTTCCAACACTATTAAGGCAGTTATTATCTCCCAAATGCAACCACAGTAAGATCCTTGCTTCTGACTCATAACAAATACCCATGAAATCAGTCAAACAGGGCCACTGCACAGCTGCAAGAGGACCCCAACACCAAATGGGCTTTAAAGCTAATGAAAATCTTTATTAGAACACAAAGCAGAATAAGGGAACATAAAGAAGGAAAACTCACATTTGCCAGGTAAAATGGAATAAATAAACAAACAAACAAACAAACAAAAGATTTTGTAAACAAAATTTTCTCTGTTCACATGACCTTGAAAATGTTTCATTTCTTCAGGCTTGCTCTTATTCCAGCAACTCTGTGATTTCCTGGGTTGCAGAAAACTCATTTCTGGGAAGACCTGTCTTTTTATTCCTTAAGATCCAACTGTGTTTGAGCTATTGCCTTCTCTCAGGAGACTCCCAAATTTCTGCTTTTTCTTCCAGCTTCTTACTCAACGAGGCAATCCCTCATCCTTTTTGCCTCACTGACTGCCCTACCCAGCTGGCAGATTGCCTCCAGCTGGCACAATCTCCCCCTCCTTCGGAGGGCTCTACCCGGCCAAGCGCACTTTAGGACATGACAAACACCAGCCTTCCTTTGAACAGCTCAGCCACCACCCTTGAAAGGAACCCCCACAGCCAACTGCAAACAGATGTCAGCCATCACAGTTATCATGACCAGTAACTCCAGACCTGATCTGCAGAGTGCAGCCAGATCTGCCAAAGACGTTCTGGTAAGCAAGTCTAAAAAAATTGTGAAAAACGCATTTGGCCATGAACACTGCTTGAACAGCCAAACATGTCCTCCTCTGTACAGCACAGTGCTGACCCAGAAACATTCAAGCCTCCACAACTACCTTTCCGACGCTGCTGCCAACACGTCCACCTCCTGTTTGTTCCCTTATGAGCTGCTGCTCCATTTTTTCCTCCTTTCTGCCCTTCCCAGGATTCCTACTACCACCTCTTCCTTCCACATGTCTAGTGCTGCCAGCACCCCTGGCTCCTCATGAAAGCTACCTGGGAACAGCTCTGCTCAAGACATTCTGGGAGGCTGACTATCTTATCTTCCAGTTCCAGGAACTAGACAATGGCACTTGAACTTGCCCTACATACACTTATCACCAACAGTGGTAACACATACTTTGAGCGGTGGCATTTAAAGAAAACACGTTCAGAAATCTCTAGCAAAACATCAGAACCAGAGCTTTACAAACGAACACCACCTCTGGACCAGCAGGCTCCTTCTCCTCTACCATGACTTTTCTCCTGTCACCTGTGAGATACTACCATCCCACCTGATGAAGCAAGATCCTGGCAGAGATCCAAGAGTATAGTCTGAATCCTTCCTGAAGGGATCTACCCAGTGAGTAACAACTTTTTATTGTTATAAAGCTATATAACTATACTGGTATACCGGTATCATAAGGATGTCTAGTCTCGCAAGATGTCAGCTCAGAGATGATATAGATAGTCAAAACTGAGCTCAGGGAAGAAGAACATCAAAATGGTGCTGGCTGGGGTTTTATAGACACTATATAGACCATAAAGTCTCCTTGGCTGAAGACACACACCCAAAATCACTGCACTCAGTTCACTTATCGGTACTCCTGAGTTCCACAATAATGTCAAGTTCATACCCAGAAGGCTCTGAGAGTGAGGTATTCTTCCATCTCCAGTTGAGCAGCTCCATCAGGAAATGATACAACATCAGTTATGAGCAACTTGGTTACTTTGCAGCTTAAATACAGCAGTGCAATATACTTGGGCAAGAAGCCATTACCCTTCAACAAATTATGCAAATTTCTTAGCAATGCACATTATAGCACAGATCTAAAATCTATTCTCCTCTCTGTACGGTGGCTTATCAGAGAACAGAAAAGCAACCAGCCAAAACCTGTGGCCTTGTTTTTTACTGGTAGGATTCTCAGTAGCTTGGAGCAAACACTAAAGAGAAAACTTACAGCTCTAGGGCAAGAAGAAAGCATCACATTTCATCTCTTCAGACACGCTGAAACTTTACCACCCACAAAGACAAAGCTCAACAGGGGGGCACTTCACGGAGACTTGATCAGTGTTGTGAATCAAATAACCTCTTGTCCAAAAATCAGTAAACGCTTAATCTGCTTATTCTCTAAGTGTTAGATAGACATCTTTAACATGCATCTTTGACTTGTCTTCAGCAAAATTAACTTGAAATAGCAGTCATATTAAAAAGAAAAGCCTTCCCCCAAAAGCACTGTATTTCACTTACAATTTCTCCTTGAGAAAAAGAAAAGGAAAAAAGAAGCATATGTGACAGAAGATTGGTCATGTCAGCGATGAACTACTGCAAAGGTCTCAGCTACGACAGCAGCACAAATGGCAGGAGAGCTCATGTGGAATGAAACAGATCTAAACAGGAGGCTGACAGGAATGCTGGAGCAGCAGAACTACAGCTTTTTCTCTCTCTAAGTTCTTCAATGTCATCTTCACACAAATCAATATAGCTTTAAGTTGAAGTAAATGGGTGAAATGCTGGAAATACATCAAATCCTTCAGAAAACTACCTCTGGTGTATAGTGCCACATTTTTTTCAGTTTCCATTAGCATTAAAACCCTAAAAAGTCAAATCAGAAACTAAGCATCTGAAGATACCGAGATCTGTGTGATACCCCCAAGATAAATCTCCATTGACTGCTGAAGTTAAAGTTTCCTTCAGTGAACGCTCAGGCAGGACACAATACCTCCAGGACACTTCCAGGGAAGTTGTGCTTGGGATTTCAAACAAATTAA